AAAATTGAACAAAACTTCTCACCAGGTGCGGTGGCACATGCCTGTGATCTCAGCACTCTGGAGCCTGAGGCAGAAGAATCACCAAGAGTTTAAGGCCAGCCTGGCTACACAGTGAGTTCAGCCAGCCTAAACTACATAATGAGACCTTGTCTTTTTTTTCCCTTTTTTTTTTTGGTACTGGGGATCGAACTTGGGACCTTGCACTTTCGAGGCAGGCAGCGGAACCACTGAGCTAAATCCCCAGCCCTTGAGACCTTGTCTTAAAAACAAAAACAAAAACAAGCTAGGCATGATGGTGCATGCCTGTAATCCCAGCGCACGGGAGGCTGAGGCAAGAAGATCTCCACGAGTTCAAGGCCAGCCTGGGCTACAAAATGAGACCCTGTCTCAAAAAACCAAAAAACAGAACAAAACAAAAGAATTAAAACAAAAATATGGAGTCCACCAAAAAAATGTATAGACATTTCAGGAAAAGAAAAATGGTATAATTGTTTTTTTCAAGAGCTGGTGTTATCCTTGTAAGGGGGTCTCTAAAAGATGTCGTATACAGCAGAAAGCCCACTACACTGCGGGCCCTTAGTGAAGAAACTGAAAATGCATGTGCAGCAATCTCGATGACCAAGGTCACCCAAGCGGAAGTTCACCACACTAATCAATGTCTGGAAGCTGATGGCCACCACTCTGAACAACTCTTATAATTGTAGAGGCCAAAGGTAACTAGTATTAATCTCATGATGTCTCAGTAAATTTAGTATTAAAATATTTATATGTTTTTCTCTCCTTGAAGTGTGTATATATTTTGGCAGATTCTGAAGTTCTCCGTACAAAGTGTGATATTCTGCAATGTATTATGTTCTGTTTCAATTTAAGTTCATTAAACACTTCAGAATTTACTCTGTCTGCAGTTTAAAAACATTTGAGTTAGGGGGCAAGGATTTAGCTCAGTGGTTCCGGCGCCTGCCGTGCAAGCGCAAGGTCCCGAGTTCAATCCCCAGTACCAAAAACAAAATACAAAAAACTTCTTAGAACATTTGAGTTAGAAGAATAATGCATTTAACATGTTTCCACAGACTTGAAACACCAGTGGTACATGCATGACTGTTGCACTGGGTGGCCTATACCGCTGGTGGTATAAGTATAGTCATATAAGTTCAAGCTTCCCAGCAGCAAGACATACAAATTACAGCCCCATCATAAATGTGTTCATGGCCAGGAACTACCTCCATGTGCCACAATATTTGATGTTAAGCTCACTAAGCACATCTCTGAATGTGCTGGGATGGGCAACATAACATTTTCTTCTGAAACAATTTCCCACTTGACTGTTTCATGCTTTGCTTTTTAAACAGACCCCTTGGATCCTGTGGCAGAGTTTATTTTTGCTGCCCTGGGAAAGACTTTTCCACTTTATGACAAATTTCCATCTCACTCAATCAATGTTGCTTGCTCAAATGGTTATCTAGCATAAAATCTGGTCCCCATATCAGATTATACAAAATATCCATAGATTTATAGTCAGAAAGTAATTTTTGGAGAAAAAGTTTATGACTTTGTCATTAGAAAAATATCCTTACATCAAAAATTTTAAAACAAATTATAAAGAAAAAGTATACTACAATAATACAGTAAGTCATGGACTGTAAAAACATGTTTTCAGTGCACATTTCAAATAAAGCAGTGCTACTATAGAATGTATGAGGTACTATTTATTTCTGAGGCAAAACCAAACACCAAAAACAAAAAAACAACTAAGAGAATTCAACTAGCATGTTACAAAGGAGGAGACATTCAAGTGACATATGAACACAGCTGAGGGTGTAGCTCAATGGTAAACCATTTGTGTAGCATACATGAGGCCCTGGGTTGGATCTCCCATATCACAAAAACAAAACAAAACTATATATGAATAGTACAAGTAACACTAACTAGAGAAATTATCATTAGAACCAGCAGATACTACTGCATGATCAGCAGAAAGAAAAACAATGATAACAACAGACTAAAAGTCACAAAGGTATTAATTACAATTGTCAAACACTGGTGTTGACAGTGTGGTAGAGCCACATCGGAAAAGGGTTTGGCAGTACCTTCTCAAACACACCCTATGAATCATCAATTCTCCTAGGCAGAAAAGATTCTACAAGAATGCTCTATCAGTACAAGTTGGATCACAAAACTGATAATTACCACTTTAGAGAAATGGATGGAGTGCTGATAAAAGAGGGCATCAGTTGTTTCATTTATTGATGTAGGTAGTAGTTATACGGTGTGTTACTTTTGTGATAGTTCACTGACCTATATAATTTGGTATTGGTCCTGGTTTTATCTTGCTCAATACAGTAAAAATAGTACATTACCATTAATGTAGGGGCATTACTATTAATAAGGGGCAGAAAGGAGGATCATAAAAGAGTATTAGGAAACAGAAATATGTTAATTGTGGTAATGGTTTCATGGATGTGTGCATATATCAAGATAGTATATATATTAAATATGTGTAGATTATGTCAATTATACCTCAATAAAACTATAAGAAAAAAGTAGAACGCACATAAACCTGCATTTATAAAGAAAACATAGTCTTAAGTAGGTAAAATAACAGAGACCAACAATCCATTAATCATTAGTCTCAACAGTTTAGAAAAGGTAAAACAAATTTTATAAAAGGCGAGTCTTTAGAAAAAGAGTACATATTACTGAACACTTTAAGAATGGAACCAAAAGAGACCCCAGAAGAAAAGCAGGCAAGACACTTGACCAATCACTTTATATAGGAAATATCAAAAAGTTGAACATCTTCCAAAATCAGAGAAACATAAAATAAAAGCACATCAGATACACAAACATACGTTGATGAGGACATGGAACAACTGAAATCTCATGAACTGAAGATGGAGGGTGAGTTTTTATTATCCATTTGGGGAAACAACTTGGCTATTTCCCCATCATGGGTACAAATATACAGAAATTAATGCACATTTGTACAGATGTACTGAAATTAGTGCACATGTGTATTGTGATAACATATGAAGATACAGCAGTATTGGTCCAAAGAGCTGAACTCCACAGTGAGTGGGAACAAGAAAAATTACATTCATGAACAAAGATATAATAAAGTATGGGGCACTTTCTATGGGCCAGTCAGTCACATTTTATATTTTATACAGCTGCTGGGCCAGGGATTTAGCTCAGTGGTTCTGGCGCCTGCCTCCAAAGCTGAGGACCCAAGTTTGATCCCTGGTACCAAAAATAAATAAATAAATAAAAATATATTTTATACAGCTGCCAAATGCTTGTGCCATTCCACATATATACATGTTTTTAAAAGGAAATATGCAGAGCTGGGGATTTACCTCAGTGGTGCTGCTGCCTGCCCCACAAGGGAAAGGACCCGAGTTCGATCCCCAGTACCAAAAAAAAAAGTAAATAATGCAAAATTTAGAAAACATAAAAATTTACAAAGGTATTTAGAAAGATTTGATTACATATCGTGTGCAAAACTCATTACAAAAGTGACCATTTCCAACCAAATTAATCTTATCTTGAGGCCAGGGATTTAGCTCAGTGGTGCCCCGCCTGCCTGGCAAGCGCCAAGGTCCTGAGTACAAACTTGAGGAACAAAAAAAAAAAAAGGGTAACAGGGGAAGGGCCTGGAGTGGTGGCCCACACCTGTAATCCCAGCACTGGGGAGGCAGAAGCAGGCGGATCGCCAGGAGATCGCCATGAATTCAGGCTAGCCTGGGCTATATTGTGAGTTCAAGGCCAGCCTGAACTACAAAGCAAGATCCTGTCTCAAAAAAAAAAAAAAAAAAGAAAAGAAAGAGTAACAGCTGTCATCACCTGACACTAAAGTATATTATAAAATGTATACTAACATAATAATACCAAGGAATGACAATACAAAGAAAATCTAAGGATGAATCCATATGAATGTAAGAACTGTATTGTTCAAGAGCAACAGAAAGGAGAATATAAATCCAACCATATCAAGAATAGCATTAAAATGAATGGATTTAAGGGCCAGGGGTGTAGTTCACTGACACTGAGCCTGGCTGGCAAACCTAAGGTCCTAAGTTTGATCCCCGGTACCGAATAAAATAAAAATAATAAAATGAATGGATTAAATAACGCAAAACGCAGAGGTTGGGGCTGCAGGCATAGCTCAGCGGTAATAGTGTATGTCCACAAAGTTTAAGGTCCTAGGTTCAATCCTCAGCGCCAAAATAAAGATAAAGAGGGCCGGGGATTTAGCTCAGTGGTGCCGCCGCCTGCCTCGCAAGCGCAAGGTCCCGAGTTCGATCTCCGGTACAAAAAAAAAAAAAGGTAAAGAATATATGCAGGGTGCTGATGAACTTTAAGGAATTTGTTGCCCGACCTACGAAAAGCTTGGCTGGTGGGGGCAGGGCTCTGGCTTTGAGATTCTGCTTTCTTATACATTTGTAAAGCTCAGAAGAGCTGGGAATAGAGGCGTATTATGTCCGTAATGCCAGCACGAGGTAGGTTGAGGCAGAAGGATCATAGCGAGTTCGAGGGTACATAGTGCGAGCAAAGCAAGCCCGAACTACACCGCACAGTGGAAAGACCCCGTCTCAAAAAATAAAAAAGCTCGAGAAAATAAGTGACCCCTGAGGGGGAAAGAGGGCTTGGGAACCCTGTGAACACAGTAACCCCACAAAAGGAGCTGGTTGTTATCCCCTGAGGATCCTCCAGGTCGTCACCCACCAAATCTGGAGTAACGTGGGACTGAAGTGTAGCTCTACCCAGGGAAGATTCCAGCAGGGGAGGAAGTCCCCAGGACAGGACTCTCATAGTGCCAGCTGAGGGCCCGCCTCCGCCCCTCAGCCCCACAGCGGGAGAGGAAAAGAACTGCTTGCCCTGGAAAGACTGGGGCCTGCAGACTCCAGAGCGGACCCCAGCAGAGGCTATGTCCGCCGCTGCCGGATACCAAGGATTCCACATGGCCTCCCTCCCCTGTCTCAGACGCCGAGCCACACACTCACCATTTTCAGCTTCCAGGGTTCCAGCTATCTCCTAGCGTATCTCCCACGCCTAGAGATCACAGGGTGACACAGGCTTAAAATCGAGTCACGTGGGCCAACAGAGCCAAAGACAGCGCGCGAAGTATATTGCCAAGATGGCGGGCGCCAGACAAGGGCAGAGAGAATGTGAAAGCCCGCCCCATCTGCTCTGACTGTAAAACTGAACAGCTCAACCTACAGCACCACCCCACGCTGGGCTTGAATGACACTAAATGTCTCCAACCCATGGCTGAGTACGACTACAGAGCCAGGTTCTTGTAGTACAGGTAGAACTTTGGGCCTGAGGAGACCACTCCCCTCCAGTCCCTTGAGCTCGCAGGCGCTCAAGGACCGGTCCCGTATAGCTTCAGACCAAAACACATGTGGTCCTTTTTCCTTTTTTTCCCGTTTTGGGCCCTTCTTATTCCCTCTCTTTCCAGCACCATTTTTCTGTTCGTGATCTTCAATAAATGTAACTGCTTTTCTTTCACAGTCGGATGTACGCTTTACAATTCTTTGCTGGCTGTATACAAGAGCTTGGAATCTATCGGATCCACTACAAGGTTACGCGCAGTTTTTTTTTTTTTCCTGGCTGTGTTAAGGATTGCACCCAAAAACTGTGGCTAAATCTATTTTCAAATCAGGACTTCTTCTAGGTATGGGAACCTACTGCAATGGGGACATTTCCATTTAACCTGTATATAAGGTCCTATCAATTTATTAGTCATATATGTGTGTGTATTATTCACAATGTGCTGTGTAATCTTATCATTCCTTTTAACAATGTCAAAACTGAAGTCTGGAGAACTTAAAAATGAGTTTTAATTCACGGAGCTGGTCAATTATAAAAGTTAAAGGCAACTTTTAATGTTACTTTAACAAATATGTTTGAAATAAAGTTACAAAAATAATTCTGGGGCCCGGGATTTAGCTCAGTGGTTTCGCCGCCTGCCTAGCAAGCTCCAGGACCCAAGTTCGATCCCCGGTACCAAAAAAAAAAAAAAAAAAAAAAATTCTGGAAGTTTACATACATTAGGTTTTATCACTTACTTTTATAATCCTAATATTATTGGATTTTAAAAATTAAAATTAGATGCCAAAGATTGAAACTAAACCCACGCACTAACCTAAAATCGAAATGGATCAAAGATCTAAATATTAAAACAGAAACACTAAATCTGCTGGGAGACAGAATACGTAGGACACTGAAAGACATTGGTATAGGCAAAGACTTTATGAACAAAACCCCCGTCGCACAGGAACTATCACAAAGAATCACCAACTGGGATTTCATCATATTAAAAAGCTTTTGCAAAAAAAAGCTTTTGCACAGCAAGAGAAACCACCCACAGAGTGAAGAGACAACCCACCATGTGGGAAAAATTTTTATTCCTCAAAGGATTACTATCTAGAATATATAAAGAATTCAAAAAATCCAACATCCCAAATTTAAAGACCCAACATAAAGTATAATGTCTGGGGATATAACAGCTGATCAATAAATGTAAGTCATTTTCTTCTCTATGCACTTTGTATAATGGAACGTATTTTTTCTTTTATCTTACAGCACAAATTATGTATAGTGTATGAATATTTTCCAAGCTTTAATTGTTTTAGTCCTGTGGCTACATCACCATAAGAGACTGTTATTTCACAAACTTTACAATAAATTTATAGAAAAGGAAAAACAGGAATATTCCCACAACCCAGTGCTCACCTGTCCTAACTCTCGTCCCACTTGGAAATGGAGCCCAAGGAGGAAGATATTCCCAAACTAAAGAATCACTCAGAGGGCAGTGACTGAGTTGAGACTATTGAGTCTTAGGGTCAGAGAGGAACAAAGGGTATCATCCTGGTTGGGGACACAAACAGAAATGTGTCCCGGAGAAGTAAGCCTTAGCCAACTTCACATAATTCAATGGAAAAACTAGCACTTTGAAAAAGGTGACATTTACATGCACATAGCAGAAAGTTTAATGTAGTATTAGTGCAGACAACGAAACTTTCTTCCCTTTTCATGTAAAGAAGAATCCTTTATTAGGCAGTCCATGCTGACTCTAGACTTTCCACCAGATGGCAGCCAATGTCCATTTGTCTTTCTGTTCCATCAGGTGATTTTGCTCCCCCTTCTCCTTTTTCTCTTCCTCCTCTTCCTTCTCCCCCTCCCTCTTCCTTTTTCTCCCCTTCTTCTCATCCTCCTCCTCTTCCTCCTTTGTCACATGGCCCAGAATTGCTTCAGTAATATTAACCTGGACCCACTATCATGTACATTTCACAAGGAAGAAAGGAGGAAATAGGGAGGGCAAAAGGGCCTGCCCAGCTCTATTGGTTCCATCTAGCATTTTGTCATACAGAGATGTGGGGGACTGCCTTATTGATTATGCCCCAAACAGGCTGTAAGCAGTGCAGACTGTAAAGAGTTAACTCCACAATTGGCTTGTTTTGAGAAGCAGTCCACCTAGCTTATGTGCTGAGGTCAGAGTAATTCGCACCCAAATTCCATTTCACAACTAACACCTTCTTAACTAGAAAGACAAGATTCTAATCACTACCCTATATTTTGTCTGTTCTGTTCCTAATTTGAGAATGCTTTGTCTTTTCCTTTAACAAGCCTTACCTGCATTAGTATCCATATCAACTGCATGATTGCACATCCTCACACATAGTTCCCCTTTACCCCAATTTGATTACCAATAAAAATCAGTGGCTTGGACTGACCAAGGCCTTGGCTGGTTGGTCAGCACTAGCCATCCTGGATTCCCACTCTTTTCTTTACTTTTTTATTTTTATTTTTATTTTTTTGGTACTGGGGATCGAATTCGGGTCCTTGTGCTTTTGAAGCAGGAGCCCAAACCACTGAACTAAATCCCTGGCCCCTCCACCCTTTTCTTTAATTCTGTCTTTGAGTCTTTTTTCAACCCTGAGTCATACACTGGGTAGGAGTGGAACCTACCACAGAGGTCTCCAGTATACAGACACAGGCAAAATATAGTCTTCCCATTTTTCTTATACTAGAAAGGCAGCACACTAAGATTCTTGTTCTGTCCGTTACTTTTTTCTCCTCTAGTGTACTCTGAAGATTGTTTTGTAAGCAGAACATGGCTTATTAACAGTCACCTTCTTGTACATGAACATCTTGGCTGTTTCTAGTCTATTGCTATTGCAGGCAGTACTGCAGTAAACATTCTTATATACACACCAATTCATTTGTGCTATGGCTTGAATGTGTCCCTTCCAAACAAAGTGCTAGTTTTTTGGTTTTTGTTTTTGGTAGCAGGGATCAAACTCAGGACCTTGTGCTTGGGCACCATTGAACCCCAAAGTGCTATTTTAAGATGCAAGGCCTTTAAGAGGTGATTAGGCCACAAATGCTTCTTGCTCTTATTCCTCTGCCTTGTGTCTGAGGATGCCCCAGGAAGCCCCTCCCCCATTGTTAGGGTAAACCAAGGCATGACCGAGACCATCAGAGCAGGTAAAAATGAAGCAACTAGCGAGGTTTTATTTTCAGCCTGGGTGCAGGCTAGTCAAGGGTGACAAAGCCATTGACCCTGGAGGGCTTGGGCGAGGGGAAACTTTATAGAAGAGTTTGGGTGGAAGAGGGGTAGTGTCAGGAGAAGTGGAAAATTTTGTCCTGGAGTGGAGGAAGTCTTTTGTTCTGGGGCAGAGGAAGTCTGGAGGTGTTCAGGGGTGTCTGGACCCACAGATGTTGCTGTGCGGGGCAGGCTGCTTATCTTGAACCCAGACCTTAGCGTCCTGTTATCCTTTGCACCTTGCAGAATATGTAAGTGCATTGCCTGGGAAGTTTTTCTCTTCTGCCTGGGCAGGGGTCTGATATTCCTGTCTTTCTGTTACAGAAGAAAAGGGAAAAGAGGAGAGAGAAGAGGGAAAGGGGAAGGGGAGATTGGATGGAGCTTCTCATGACTTCTTCAGGTGTGACAAATGGGCAGCATGGACAGCCTACATGGAAGAAAAACTTGGAGGATGGGAGCATATCGAGGACCAACCAGGGCTAGCATGTGCCGATTCATGATTACTTGTATATGATCCTATAAAAATTGTGAAAGAATTCTGAGAAGGCATGGTCCAAATAAGAAAAGGAGAATAAAAAAAAAAAGAAAGAAAGAAGAAAAGGAGAATAATACAAGAGGTCCAGTAAATGGAAGAAGCCATGTAGCCCAGCCCCAAACATCAGTCCATGAGTTACACAGATGATAGTCAATTTCTAAGGCCTTTGTCAGCTTTTTTAGCTGCCTCCCATACTATACCTAACTGATTGGAATGAAAGCAACATTCTTCTCTGAGAAAAATGCATAATCCACCTCTCAGTCAAAAGATCCAAGCCAGTGTGCTCTGCAAAACCACTGCAGCAAGGGAGTCTATCTGGTTCTGTAAAGTGAGAATGGAATCGGCTATTTCTTTGAGGCTGTCAGAGAGGAAGGTCTTGGGAGAGAACATGATAATTGGATTAGGGAAGTAGTTAAACCTGCTATGCCAGTCCCTGCAGCAGCAGTGATCCCTAGACCAACCAGCAGTGAAATTAAGTGTATGGCTCTATGTCTTCGAACCTGGGCTGTAATGATAATAGGCAGGCTCTGGTTTTGTGGGGCAGTGTCTTATATTTGGGCTAAGGTATGTTAGCATACAGGAACTGGTCTTGTCGGGAGCAATGCTACATAATTTCAGGGAAAAATCATTTGATTAGGCCTAATTCTCCTGCCTACAGGCCAGCTATGGCATTTTGAGACATAATTCCATTTTGGCCTCCAGTCACAACTGAGACCTCCATGATCGAGTGATGCTGTGCCGCTCCAGGACAAGATTACACCAGTTGAAGACATCCTTGGAGGAACAAAATCTTCCTCTACTCAGGTCCACGTTGTTCTTGGATTGTTACACTTTGTTTATGCCAATGTATTGAACTCTCTGCAAGTCATTTGTTACATCTGTTTCTCCCGATGTACTGAGTAAAAGGTGCAGTAAGCTGAGGGCTTTCTTCTTTGCTGCCCAGAGCAGCACAGATCAGACCCAAAGCTCAGCTTTTTTTCAGTCTCATTTTTCTACCTTTCCTGTATAATAAGTTAGTTCTCCTTGTGCTGCCGTTGCTTGCAGGAGACTAGGACTTACTGCAGAGATTTAGTAACGTCCCCTTTCCCTGTTCCCTACATGGTCCAGTTAGTGGGAAGGCAC